CCGTCGACAATTGGACCCACGGGTAAAGTGGCAGGTGTCGCTTCAAAACGAGGTCGTGGACGTAGAAATCGAAGTAGCAGGATGATTTGCATTGGAGGCTGATGACGTAGAAATAATGGAAGTAGTGGCGGTTGTTGAACTCGGAGGACTAAAAGGATGTGTAACTACTGAGCCGAGGTTGTTGTGGATCGGTGCGGGACCTTGTTGGGGAGGAGGTACGTGGGATGGGTGATACATCATTGGGTTACCATAACCGTGAGTTTGATGATAAGTAGAAACATAAGAAGGTTTAAACGGAGTGTGTTGCCAGGGAGGTGGCATGACGCCTTGGCCTTGGCCTGGCACAAAGCCTTGGCCAGAGAGATCAGAGGGAGGTTGTGTAAGGGTGTGAGGTGGTGGGTACACAAGGCCAGGTGGGGAATACCAGTAGGGGTGTTGTGCGAAATGAGTTGGAATATTAGGTGGCTGAGGAAAGTGATGGTGAGAAGACGTCGCTGGATGGATGGACGGGTGGTTATTATGGGAAGGTGGTGGTTGATTAGGCGAGTGAGTTGTTTGTACAATTTCCGAGGGTATGGAATTCGGAAGTGGGGAATTCTGATTAAAGTTGGACATGGTGCTTATTGAGGGGTGTAAGGTTCAATTGAACTGGGTCAAAAGGGTCAATGAATGTGTAAGTTAGTGTATGGATTCGAAGTAAGTGTATGGATTGGAAGATTGTATGGGAAAGAAGAGAAGAAAACAACAAGGACGGAAGGACGGGGAAGAGGAGGGAATTACAGTGGGGGGTGCAGGCTTTTAGGGTGGAGTCCAAATGGGACTCGGCCCGTTTCCGGGCTCATGAGCTAATAAGAGCCCTTTTGGTTGTTTCCAAAAGGGCGAAGTCAAATTTGACGCCCTATTACTTAATAGGGGGCGAACAATGGTGAAATAGGGGCTCTGACATCAGAAGATGTTCACGTAAAGAGCCCCTGAGGAGCCCCTGAGGTCCGACCCAGCCAAAATTTGGCTGAGCCCACTCGGGTTGCTTTGGGTATCGCGGATAATGCCCCAAAACTAAGGGGCGCCGGATCCTTGCCGAGGGGGCGGAAAATAGTGGGATCCCAAAATAATACAATAACTTTGCATACAAAAAGATTCCGACTTGAATTCAGTTCTAGATACATATTTGAGAAATGCAATATATAATTGAGAATGAGCACTTGAATGTTCCCCAGATATGTGGGGTGATGAATGATGACACAAAGGCTGAAAAAAGTGCAGGGAGATTTGAATATGATCCCTTGATTATGAATATACAGATGCACAGATGCTTCTGGAGCCCAGATGAGTGCAGATATGTACCCAACCAACTTTTGGAGGTGTCCCAGAAGTTTCTGGATGTCACTTCTTGACACTTCTGGAACACATTTCTGCAGTTTTGGATACCCCTATTGAGACATATGGGAGAAAAGGCATCCATTTTGAATGGGTTCCTCCAACATGTCCAGTAGGAGGCTCTGGAGCATTCAATTCTCAGGTTATGTGTCAAAACTGTTGAGGTACAGTGGACTCTGATATTACCAATATGTGCCAAAACCAATGCTCTGTAAACACAGATACTTTTTTGATCAAATAAAATTTATTTGCAGTGAAATTGGTCTCAAAACCAATAAACCTGCAATAATTCAGTGGTATATTTGACTAGGCTTTGGTTCATTGTTGGCTTTTTTCTCATTTTTTTCACTGCTGAATGTCTGCTCACATTCATAATTGTGAACTTTGAGAAACACACTTCCTGAAGGGAATTCCCAATACATTGTTTCTCAGCTGATCATATACAATGTATGGAGTTCTTTTTCATAACCAATACCACCTGCAATTTGAGCATTATTGGTTTCCCAAAGCCTTGATGAAAGAGATACTTGGTCAAAACCAATAGTTTTGACCCCCATTTTTTGGGTATTGGTTATGTCAGAGTCTACTGTAGAAGGAAGTCAATTTCATTTTCTAGTTACATGTAAAAATTGTTAAGGTGGAAGGATCTCAAGATTGTGACATCTATGTTTTCTCATACCTTGCATATTTTCATTTGTTGAAACTTTAGGGCCTATTTGGTAACTTTAGCCACAAAGTGTTGCACAAAAGCAAATTTTTGATCTTGCAAGGGGCAGATTGAGAAGCTTGAAAGTTGGTTATACACTTTACCAACCAGTCAACCAAAAATGTCAGCAAAAATTATGATCACCTCTTGTTGACGATTTTGCTGTTTGGTGAAGTGTATAAGAAGATAACATAAAAATTGAACTTTGGATTTAGCATGTATGTTCTAACCATCGTATCATCCATAGCAATCATCAACCATCCATTTCTGTTGCATAATGTGTTTGCAACAACCAAATTCTGACACCATGGAGAATGGATTGTGACCATCCTTTCAACCTCTGATGCCCCAAAAATGTCCCAAGAATCAAAAAAGAAGACATTGAAAGAGATGACTTGGGTAACACACATTTGTGTAGCCTACTTCTGATCAGATGCAAAACTAGCAGAGCAATGCAATTGTGAAGTTTGCAAAAAACACCAAAATCAGGGAGAAAGCTGACCAACCTGTCAAAAGCTCACACCAAACACGCTGAAAGGTTACACAAAAATCTTTTCCAGCGCTTTCCTGAAGCCAAGAAGGACCAGTATGTGTAGGCTGAGCAGGCGCACAACTCTGTTCTAACTTCTTAGTCCAAAGGATATTCGTCCGTAGGGTCCGCGGGTATTGGAGGAATGAAAAAGTCCCCAGCCAAACTTTTCTGTCTCGCACGCCAAATTTCGTGTATAAGTCCCTCTCTCGACTACTCGTTCGTCCGAGAGGGGTTTGTCAAGTTGTGAAAACCCCTTTATGCATCCGCTTGTTTTGCAACTGCCTTACCTGTTTGATATGTATCTTCGCATGAATGAGATCGGCAAACATTCACAACTGCAAGCGATTATTAATTCCTCAGAGAAGACGATAGAAGACTCCAGAGAAAAGAATGTACAAATCAGATGGAGCCTGGTGTCGCACTATGCCTTTGACCATGACTTGAGTAGCGGATGACTTGCAATTGCCGTATAAAACACTGAGTCTTTGCATCTCTAGGCCATCGTCGTCCTCCAGCATGGAACGCAATGAAATCGAGGCCGCCTTCTTTTCTCGTCAGCCCTTTGTCCGCCGTGTGCTAAATTTTCATGAGTTGGAATTTGCTAGTCCTGACCACTGATTTGCGACAGACGTACTTCACGAGCTTTGGACCGCCTTGCACAACGATCCAAACATAGATTCGGTGCACATCAACTCTCTCAACTCCAGGCGTAGGTCTATTCTTCTTGCGTATATGTATTTGATCCGCGTTTATAAAGTTCATGCTTGTCATCTTTAGTGCGGAAATCCTTTCAAGAGAGACCTTTCCCGTTATCAGAGTCGTTACAAGCACTGAAAGAAGTCGGTCTGACTCGACGATTGACAAATCTGCCCAAGCGCTCACAACATGGACGCTGGTCTTTAACGCCCTGGGCCGTTGATAGCATTGAGAGCGAGCTCTGCAAGGTACCGTTTGAAGCACATTAGATCAGATTAGCACTGACATGGAAATTTGGATATGGAAATCAAGCTAAGAGCGCAGCATACGACAACTCCAGCAGAAGCGATTCTTGACCAGCTTGCATGCGCAAATTTGATCAACCGAACGGACATTCCAGTCTCATTGTCAATGAAGAGGCCAAACGAGTCCATGAGTGTTAAAGGTGGTCCGAGTCGCAAGTCAAGACACAACTCTCCAGCTGATCCCTCGATTGTGACCAGAAGCCGCAACACTCGCCGAACACCCGGAACTGCAAGAAGACAATCCCAAGGCAGACGATCTCCACCGGAAGCGGGAGGCTCGCTTCAACCCAGAGCAGACAGTGAGAGCATCCCTATAAGGTAAAAAATCCACAGCATGGTCGTACTTGTCATCGGAACTCATCAGTCCTCACACTGTCGATGGTTCTAGTCCGGTTCATCGTGCGGAGCGGAAGACACAGGGTCAGATTGCGACTCTGCAAATGTGAGTTGCAGACATTCTTTTTGACACCAAGAACTCCCTGTCCCCGTTCAATGAGCGCGTAAGTCGCATCAACCGGTACAACTGTGTGCATGCAATCAAGTGTCGGCAGAGACCGAATTGTGGGCCTAATTTCTTTGCGAAGAGAAGATGATAATGACAACGTATCTCATGACGATGGACACTTTTAGCGCGAACGAAGCTCTGTCGGAACAATTGAAACAGAAGGACATCCTGATCGAAGATCTGGAAGCGAAATTACTCGAGTCAATCGGCAGGAATGAAGCGTGAGCTGCAACAACTATCATCGGTTTTTTGTCTTGAGGAACTGCTTCGTAAGAGACGCCTTTGCAAACGCGTTGATGCATGCTTGTATCAGGGAACGACAAGATAACCAGAGTCAGATGCAGAGCACACACTCTACATCTTATCACCAGCCTGTCAGGAACTCTGAGGAACCTGTCATATACGAAATCACGCGACGGCAGCTCGAGCGCTACCGCGCACAAAACTTTGCTCTTACAGCCAGAGTCGACGAGTTGGTACAGCATGTCCAAGAATCAGATGCGTAGGTCTATATTTTTTGTCTCATCCACAAATCCTCACCTTTAGAAGTTGAGGAAATCACTATCACTCGGCGCTCGAAATTGTAGGGCAAAAATAGTTTTGGAAGGGAATGCATCACGTCTAGCTCAAGAGTATTCAAACTTAAAGGCTCAAGCCGAGATGTTAAGTGGCCAGCTGCAAAGATCTGAGAGGTGTGTAGCTTTGGTTGACACGTCTTCGTACTGATGAGCTGATATTTATATTCAACCTGACTTCGATAGCATAAACGCCATATGGAAAACACGTACTGAAGCGCAAAAACAAAAAGCTGTCGAGATTATCTCATCAATTGGAGAGTCAGAGGAGGAAGATCCATAAAGATCAAAGAGGAGCTCAAGAACTATGATCGGTCGACTCAGTCTAAGCCCGTGAATGTGCTCCCATGTCTCCATTCTTTTATCAAACAACCAATGTAGAGGTGTGACAAAAATATTTATGAAAAGCTCTTTTGCATTGATTTTACGGCACGAGTAGAATCCAGTGTATCTATATCAAATCTCACTGTCTCTTGAACAGGAACTGTGCCAAAAAATTGAAGGAGCATAATGCGATGTTTTTAACTTCTTTGCTTTCACTTCAAGTAGACTGTTCTGGCGGTTCCTACTCAAGATCAAAATGGACAAGACACGCCATCATTGACAAATGTTTTGCAAGATGGATGGTAGATCATTTTTTGGATTATTTGTATGCTTGTTCCAATCCTTACTGAAAGATTACAAAAGCACTGATGTAAATATCCAACTCAGAAACAATTGTCTTGGCTGTTAGTATTGCAGAGTATAAAGTAAGTGTGGAGTTGTGGGGATGTTAAGATATCTGTATGAGATTGACTTAATAGAGACCCAGTGAAGACTCTCATTGATAGTACTTGAGAAGCCCAAGTGGGACATCGCTACAGTGAGAGCAGTTAAATATTGAGGAAAGTGGAAATCGTGTATTTTCAACTGGATCAAGTACATCAGCAAGGACGGATGGGCTTTGGCGTGATACCCCAAGATAATTTCAAGGCCTCCTTCAATTTAAAAATGAGTTTTGAGTTCCTCTCATTTCAATACTTACATGTCAGAACTTATCAAAGCACAAACTGATGTACTTGCAACGTCTGCACAAAAACAAAAAGTTGGGATAGATTTTGAACCCATGGAATTGGAGGACTATTCCTATTGACCATCGCTTGAAAAACTTTAACAACAGACCCAGAAGAAAAGACAGATACTCAAGTGTAAGCATTGAGTGGCTTAAAATCTTTGATGACTTCTCACCTCGAGAAGCTCATTGAATACTTCGTAGCTCCAGCCCACTACAAACAGCCTGCATAGCTCGAGATAAGATTTTAAGTTTCAACTTGGAGCACCATCGATGTGCAGAACCCATTCAATGGCCATCTATGTGTGCTGATCTATCTATTGTCCTTTCAAGTTTCCAAACCCCATGCTTCAGGATTGGCATCACTCTGAATGGACTTCCAAGCCTTTAAAATTCTTTATGACTTCATCCAGATAATGGAGCGGGTGAGAGCGGGAAAGTGGTGAGAATATCCATGTCCCTCCTTACAATATCCAGTGCAAAGTTCATCTTGCTTCTCTTGTCACTTAATGAGAAAAGAAGTAAATAGATCCTCAAGTTACTCTAATACAATATTCATATGCATGTGGCCGGGTCCAGAGATAGACGTCAGGACGGACTATCGCAGCTTGTGAGGAAGGAGAAGGTACATGTGCCCCGGCGGTACTTAGAACACGTTTGAGTCGCAGCCAAGTCAATTGTGAGATCCTTCTGTTTTGTTGATGAACAGAAGCAATTTATACATCTACCAGACAAGTTTTGCAGAACAGAAATCGTATGAATAAATTGATACATGTACAACCCTGGTCTAATGGGGTACATCGTCCTTACCCTGTTTATCCTCCAAATCAGGTGTATCGTTCACTTCACCTGGTCAAAGTGGAAAGCTTTCATGGCACCGTGGACCGTGTATGAAAGGGGCTTAACACAATCATTGATGGGGCAGTCACACTTAATACCTTCGTGACGGAGCTGGATCCCGAGCACGAGGAGTTTTTGATGTTGTCGTTCTTTTGTTGCCATCTGGGTTATTGAATTCAGCGTTCCTTTTCTCAGTCTTTCGGGCAGCTAGCTCGTCCAGAGTAAACTAAAGTATAGTTCAGGAATCCAACATATATTAATCAAATCGTCTTCGCAGGTGTGTCGAAAAGGCTCACCTTTCTGTTTGCCAGAGGATCAACAACTGCGTACTCATCAGCTCGATGCAGATCTACAGTTGCGTCTTTTCTAAATTTGAGTTCACTGTGGATAAAAGTGACACCGTCGAAATATGTGCCGAGTTCCATCAGCTATATGTCAGATAAGATATAAGAGATAAGAGATATATTCTCATGGCGCACTGAGCCATCCATCCGTCGTCATCGTCATCTACATCACCCAATACGCCGTCTTGTGTAGGGTCTACTTCACCAGCGTAACCATCTAATCGATTTTCTCCTGCTGCAACAGTTTTTGAAGGACCTTCTGCCCCTCGCAGTTTACTACGAAAGCCTTCCAAAATCGAGTCAATCCCGGAACTACCACCCTTCTTCGTGGGTGCCGACACTTGAGATATTGTTTTCTCGGCCCGGGCTTTATATCGAGCTCTTTCGGCTTCCAGTAGTGATCGGCCTTCCTGAGATTTGTGGCCTTTGCTTGACTTCGGGCCTGTTTTTTTGGGTTCATGTTCTGATCCCGACTCGTCACTGTTCAATCCCATTTTGAGATCGGCTTCCATCTTTGCAATTTCGTCTCTCACTCGCTCACTGAGCAGCCATTGAAAACAAAAGCAAAGCCGGAAAGCAAGTTTAAGCACCCGACTCGGTATTCAAAACTGACTGATATGAAAATGACAACCCCAAAGCTGTCAATCTTCACTTACGCGTCATCTTTCTGCTTTTTTCGGGGCGCTGTACTTGAGTCGACTTCTCCCTTGTCTGTGCGATCTTTCGAATCAGAAGTTCGCCGCTTTTTGACGGCTTTGAGAGCGGAGTGCATCTTCACAGGTTGACTTTCATCATCTGCCTGTCTGAGAGCAGAAGCAGGTGGTTGTACCAAATATGGCGCCGGGATGTCAATTGCTGAACGCCTCGGATCAATAACTTTGCTTGATAACTGAGAGGAGGCCTCGACATCGTGCGCGCTTCTGAATTTGGGCCTTTTCTCCTCATCTTCCACCGCAGGACCTGTCAATTGCTCTTCATCTGCAAATGAAAGGAGACCTTTGTTTCTTTTTAGGCGCAAGGCTTGTCAGGCATCTTTAAATTTTGAATTGAGGGTGGAGGTTGGTCAGATGCGAGCCTTACTTCGCTAGAGTCCGATGTTTGGATTTCATCTTCTCCTTTGCCTTCTCCCGTTTAGCCTCTTTTTTTGCCTTTGCCTGTTCTTTAATCTGCTCCCTTGTGATCCGCGGAACGATGTCTGGAAAGGGATTGTCGATCACCTCTACGCTTTTGATCATGGGAGGATGGATGGGACGTTCCTTGCGATCGACTTCAGCTTCACTCAGCTTGATGACATTATAAATGGTGTCGCCGATCACGGATCCGAATATCGTATGCTTATCCTGTAATTCGTCAGTGCGTGCTGTGTTTGACCGTTAGGCAGCCGGCGTCCAGATTACACGAAAAAAGAAAAGTTCACGTGAGAAAAACCAAGATAATGTAGAAAAGATGATACTATCAGCCTTGCCTAATGTAAAGAAGAACTGGGATGTGTTGGTGTTACGAGTGCCTAGATTCGCCATGGCAACTAACCCTCTTCGCGAAAACTTCAGTCTTGCATTAATCTCATCGTCAAATACGCCTTCGTCGTATATAGACTCGCCTACACATCATCTTGGTCTGATCAGCTGCATGCTGCGAATGGCTGATCCTGACAGTATTTTTACCTCCACTACCGGTACCAGATGGATCACCAGTTTGAACGATGAAATCCGGTACAATGCGATGAAAGATGACGCCGTCATAGTATCCTTCGAGACATAATTGCACAAAACTGGGCGTAGCAATAGCACCTTTGATCAATTTGCGTGTGATGAGAAAGGCAAAGGTTGGATCTACTTTCGACAAGCCTTCGGAGTTTCTTTCGGCCATAGTTCTATCTCAATCGGTCCATGAGTAGTTTTCAACTTTATGCGACCAGAGGGAATTGGTTCGGTAACGCTTTGCAAAGAATCGAATTTCCATTAGGACCAGAACAATATCAGGATACAGTAAAAGGTAAATGAGAGGAGACGATATCATATACTGACAATATATTCGCCATACTTCATAAAATTCACTCCCAGTGGAAAGTTTCTTCAAGCCGTTGTGTTGTCACCGTTGCTGAATCTGGACGATGAGATCTTTCCCCAAGTCGCTCCTGACCCGATTACGTCGACCCGACTTCAGCTCTCGCGCGATCGTCGGGGACAGAAACACTTCCCCCGGCCCCGGGAGGTCGCTTTCCATTCATAATCACAACACAAGGGAAAACTGATGGAAGCAACTGGATTCAAGCCCAAGCATATCAATTGCAAGACTCCAGTTGCATGTGATTTTTGGTTGACTACCTATCTTCAATAATTTCATAGCTGGTAGGCTGAAGTATGCTGAATAAAGATCCAGCATACTTCTTGCCTATAGTTTGAGTTTGATGAAGCTTTCTACTTCTTGCAAGAGTCACATCATATCACCCATACATGAACATTTGGATGTTTACATGTGTTTAAAAAAATTACAACATAAGGTATTCAACAGAGGTATTCAGTGTAGAGATGATAGGTCTTCATTTTATACTTCATCAGTCTTTAAGCTCTGATGTATTCCACCCTGCCAATATATGTTCATCAGACCTTTCATTTCACGCAGGTGGATGATCCTGAGCCAGACTTATGAGGCAGCAAGGTGCTATTGGGAATGGAACAATTACGTAAAGTATTCCATAAACGAACTCAAGAGAATCCATTGGAGAACATTTTTGGCAAAAGCTCAAAGTGGACTGACCTTCAAAGCGTTTAAATACACACAGGCACAAAGTTCCAATACGGTAGCGCCACTGTACCGCGAAGATAGAACATTAGCAACAGACAAACATGAACAAGCAAAGCTATTATTCGTCGGTACCTCAATAGTCCAAAATGAATGTAGTATAACTGACATTTCAAGAAACACTCACCCTTCCCCACAGCTAACTCACCCAAAGATAACGGAACACGAAGTCACAGAAGTAGTGCGAAAGCTACCGTCGAAGAAAGCAACAGGAGGGGACAAAGTCTCAAACGAACTAATTAAAATAGCTGAGTCATCCCTGATACCTGTTCTAACAAAGGTGTTTGAAGCGTGCCTGAAATTAGGTTATTTCCCAACAGCTTGGAGGACGGCCACCACGGCAATACTTCGGAAACACGACAAAGATGATTACTCAGAGGCAGGAGCGTACCGACCTATTGCCCTGCTAAGCTGTCTAGGAAAAGTCTTCGAAACGGTGATTGCGAGAAGAATCACGTACTGGGCCGAGAGTCACAACGTCTTGGCAGAAGGACACATGGGGGGTCGACGTCAACACAGCACGGACGACGCCTTTGTGCTCCTAACGTCATGGATATACCACAAGTGGCGGGAGGGGAAGATGGTGTCAGGCCTGTTTCTTGACGTAAAGTCCGCATACCCCTCTGTACACAAAGTTAGACTAGCTGATACATTACGAAAAAAAGCATGTCCAGAGTACATTGTTTGCCAAATAGAAGAATACCTCCAGGCCAGGACAACAACCCTCCGACTACAAGACTTTGTGTCAGAAGAATTTGATGTGGAAGACGGACTTCCACAAGGATCACCCCTATCTGTCATACTTTACATAATCTACAATTCATCACTGCTCATTGATACCAAAGTTGACATCACATCGGACAAAATCTCTCTAGGATTTATAGACGATGTAACACACTTAGTTGCGAGCAAAGACATCGACGTCAACGTAATGGAACTGGAGGACGAAGGAGACAAAGCGCTAGCATGGGGGAGGAGACACGGCGCGATATTCAATCAAAAGAAAGCCCAAGTGATGCATCTGACCCACCGCCGCCACAATAACCCAAAGATACTCTTCGGAAACCAGATACTGGAACCGAAAACCGAATTAAGATGGCTTGGTCTGTGGCTCGATCCCAAACTTAGTTTTGGACCACACATCAAGAGGATGCAACAAAGGGGAAAATCGACATTAGCTCAGCTAAGTAAAATTAACAGATGCTACTGGGGTACAGATCCCAAAGAAACTAAAAATTTGATCACTGCAGTTCTTAAACCGAGAATCCTGTTTGGATGTGTAGTTTGGTTCAACACAAAGACAGAGAGTAAAGTCTCTAAAATCTTCAGCCTCCTGCAGAACTCAGCTAACAGACTAGCGTTGGGAGCATTCAAAAGCTCTCCAGCGGATCACATGGAACACGATGCTAACATGGTTTCTTTCAAAGACCTAGCAATCAAATACAACCACAACTTCGCATACAAGCGCTTGACAGCTCCAACATCTCACCCGACCAAGCGGATCCTAGACATCGAGTTATCAAAAAGGCCACGTAACCTCTTAAGCCCAATGCATAGAATACTACGAAAAACTGATATGCTTCTGACCCCGGACCTCAAACTAGAAACAATCTACCCGTACCCCGTGGCCCCGTGGAAAGAACCATTATGGGAAGTTCAAAACCTGGACGAGAAACGAGACAAAGTCAAAGAAAAAATACCAACACAAATCGAAGACGAAGAAGAAAAGGGAGCGTGTGTCATATTCACGGACGGATCCTTCATCCCAGAAGTTGGGGGAGGAGCGGCAGCTGCGATGAACGACGGAGTGACAAGTCATGCATATGGACCACTTGAAGGAATCTCTAACTACGAAATGGAAGCAATGGCACTAATACTTGGTTTGATCAAATATAGCACGATGGTGACAGAACACCCAGATAAATACCACTCGGTGGCACTGTTCAGCGATAGCCAAGCCGCGCTGAATCTCCTAGCAAACCCAACGAAACCGGAGACACTTCAATACCTAGCAAAGACATTACAAAAGGCGGTACGGCGACTACCACAAGCGCACACAGTATCGCTATATTGGACGCCGGGTCACGAGGGGATCATGTTAAATGAGAAAGCGGATGAGGCGGCTCGAGCAGTGGCAGAGGGAAACTCAGAGGTGTTGATGCTACCAATCAGTTTAGGAGGCTTACTAAGACACACTAAACAAAGTTTCAAAAGGGGAGCTGTTCCAATCAAAAAATTCAAAACCCGTGGAAAACTAATAGCTGACGCACTCAATCAACTAGAAAAAGGGCAGGCGGCCACAATCTTCCAACTACGATGTGGTCACTGCCCCCTCAAAACATTCTTACACCGAATAGGGGCCGAAGAGAACGACAAGTGTGACACTTGTAAAGTTCCAGAAAGTCCGACTCACTTCTTGATATATTGTAGAAGATTCAACTCACAACGTCAAAACTTCAGAAAGAAAATCAAAAAAAGAAAAAATCCCAGTTGACACTAACTCGGCAACAAAATTACTAGATACTACAGCAGTGTTCCCTTACTTAGCTAGCTTCGTGGAAGAAACGGGCAGATTCACTCATTTAAAAACATATCTCGATTAATACGTGTGCTATATATTATGTCCAAAAACCTATGCCAATTTCTCCTTTTTTTATCTTCACTTCTAAATTTTTCTTTTCTCATGTATAAATGTTTGGATACGTCAATTTGTACGAGGCACCTGATGTGGAGGCTTAGTAGTCCGCCCATTGGTAGAACACATATAAAAGCAGTTGTTGTATTAGAGATACTACATTACTTACACAGATTAAATAGTGTGGCATGTGAAATCAAAAGCACTCAAAATAAAAAAAAATAAAAAAAATAAAAAAAAAAACACAAGGGAAAACTGATGGAAGCAACTGGATTCAAGCCCAAGCATATCAATTGCAAGACTCCAGTTGCATGTGATTTTTGGTTGACTACCTTATCTTCAATAATTTCATAGCTGGTAGGCTGAAGTATGCTGAATAAAGATCCAGCATACTTCTTGCCTATAGTTTGAGTTTGATGAAGCTTTCTACTTCTTGCAAGAGTCACATCATATCACCCATACATGAACATTTGGATGTTTACATGTGTTTAAAAAAATTACAACATAAGGTATTCAACAGAGGTATTCAGTGTAGAGATGATAGGTCTTCATTTTATACTTCATCAGTCTTTAAGCTCTGATGTATTCCACCCTGCCAATATATGTTCATCAGACCTTTCATTTGACATATGTGGAGACTGTGATGGTTACACTTACTAGCTGGAGCTGGAGTTAGATAGCCTGGCCTAGAGAAGAGTTTTTCTGATAGCCTATGTGATGCAAGGCCAGCAAAGGTGAAAAATGTGTCTAACAGTGTCAAATTATTGGTGGATTGAGCTCCAAGTCTGACACCACATAAATTTTGTGATGGCATGCCAACATGCACACACCAAAAAGTGAGAAATAGAAACTGATTTATTTTGTTAGTGTCTGGATTAGTAGAATCAGATTCAATGCCAAGAAGCCCTTTCTCAATAAAAAATGGTGGGAGAATAACCCTTGATTGTTAGTTAGATCTAGCAAGAAAGGTTCGTAATGGTCTATCTTCAATATCCAGGTCATTGAACTGTTGATATTCCATTCTTCTTCATCCCCATTATAGTCAATTTTGGATGTGATTTGATTTTAAAATATGAACTTAAGCACGGCGGCTGTTAGAAAAAAAGTCTGAAAAAAGGCAATCAGGCTTTCCGTGTGAAACAGCTTCACTGTCTGAGGAGACCAACAAAGGCTTGTTGGTCTTGGGATCCAAACACTGTTACAAGCTTATTTTCCTGGTCTATAATAAGTCATCTGTGTGTGTGCATGTTGACCTGTCATCACAGAATTTATGTGGTGTGAGCCGCTTGAAATCACAATGTTATCTCTTCAATCAATGTTCCAGAGACCCAATGATCTTCTGTACCTGAAGATTCTGGATCAATTGTTGGCGTCAGAAGTGAAAAATGTCAACATTTTCAGCTTATGATATGAAAAAGGGTCACTCACCTGTCTCTCAAACAACCCCTGGCAGAAAAATGCATCACACCTCATCCTGAAGGTATTGCTAGAGTACGCAAAGTCTGCAGATGTATCTCTGTAGTCCATTAGGAAGGACATGCTGAGTTACAGGAGCATAGCAGGGCAGACAGTCAATCATGAGTGATGCAGTGTAAAGTATGGAAACTGCCTGTCCTACAAGCATTTATCCTTTGTAAAGCTAAGGATGTAACTGGCCTGGAGACTAAATACGGGATGTCAATAAGGTCACATTATCAACCCAAAAATAGTCCCTACATCTTCAAAAAGTCATATTATCCCCTTCAAGAAACTCAGTAGGTGCTTGAGTTAGCTCTGGGGTTGGTACCTTGTCCATACAGCTATGGTATGTACTTCCTTGCTGAACCTGGGGCTAACTGGGGCCCTTGCTGGCCATCAAGGGAGCACTCCATCTGTATTGACATGAAAAGTGATGAAATCAGAATGGCCAGGTGACTGGTAAGGAATCACTTATTAGTGATGAGGTAAAGCACTGCGGCTGAGATCACTAAAGAGTGAGAAATGGAAAGATAGGCACCTGCCGTAAGGTGGCACAAGTAAAGAGAGAAATGTTTGAGTGATCAATATTCCCAAGAACACGAACTACTAAATATGAGATAACATGATCTTTGTACAAACCTGGTAAGGAATCACTTATTAGTGATGAGGTAAAGCGCTGCGGCTGAGATCACTAAAGAGTGAGAAATGGAAAGATAGGCACCTGTCGTAAGGTGGCACAAGTAAAGAGAGAAATGTTTGAGTGAGGAAAATAACAACAACACGCAAACAACCGCTCTTTATAGTGTGATATCTTTCTAGACATAGGTTTAACAAATGATAGTAGTTGTGAGTCTCATTTACCGGATTGGGATTAGTGACTATTGAGCTCGAACAGAGAGAAACAAAGAGAACGCCGCAGAACATGTTAGGTGGACTCAATACGGTTAGTTAGGATGGTAACTATTGGAGAGAAAAATAAAGAAACAGATAAGAGAGAAAAATCCTCGACTTCAACAAAAAGTACCAACACCGTGGGGCCCATTGATGGCCATCAAGGGGGTACTCAAGCTATTTTAAAACAGATATTCATGGTGCCACAGGGGTATTGGATGGAAAAACATTTTGAGTTAAAATTTATTAGCCGGTCTCAAAGCAAACCCGGTTGCCAAAAAACCCGGTACACCCAGTTGCGTAACTTTGTGCATTGAGTTGACATTTTTGACACCTCCCAGCCAAAAAGACAACCAGGTGTACCGGGTTTTTTGCCGACCGGGTTTGGTTTGAGACCGGCTATTGCTGGAAATAAAAACATAGTGAGTTACGATTAGGATATCAGTGAACATAAAAAACATTCTGAGCCACAATTGAGGTATTGGTGGACAGAAAAACATTTTGAGTACAATTGGCATATTGGTGGGCAGAAAAAACATTTTGAGTTACAATTAGGATCTCTGTGGAGAAACAAACATTTCAAGTTTCAATTAAAGTATTGGTGGACAGAAAAACAATTTCAAGTTGCAAGATATTAGTGGACGGAAAAAACATTTTGAGTCACAATCAAGGTAGTAGAACTGGCCAGATGGCTGCCGCCACCATCTGAAATTTCTTTGAATTTCCTCTGAAGTTTCTCTGAAGATTCTTTAAAATTTCTTCGAAAAGTTCTTGAAACCATGGTAGTACAGTCGGCTCTTGATGTAAGCATATTGATGGTCGACAGATTCTCCTTGCTTATATTGCGCAATGCATACTGCAAAAGCATAATACAGCCTTTTGGGCCCATGTATACCAAAAAAAATCCCGCAAAAACCTATGCATATAGCAAGATATGCCTATGTCAAGCTTGCTTACATCGAGAGTTGACTGTATCTAGCCTTCCAGTGACTAGTAGCTGGGGGCTGTGAGTGGTACAGTAGATTGCAGGAGTCAGGATTCTTGGCATGTAACAAACACATACGGAGGTGACAGAACACACATAGTTCCCTGGGCAGTCTTGGGGCAGGCACTCAATTTGATGGACACTCAATGTGTTGATTGAGACACTTACAGCCCAATTGGTGGCATCTGAGGTTCTGTCAATTGTGTAGTCGCATCCAAGCCCTCTGATATTGTGACTGAGAACCACAAACATTCAGCAGTATACATTCTGGTGGAAGCTCTGCCCAGCCAGCAGTTACCATGATCACTTTTGGCTTCAGAATGCACAAATGACAACTTGGCTGTCTGACCCATTCAATCAAGTATCAACCTGGTATCTTTTGCTTTGCACTCACAGTACCATATTAAACTTGCAGGATATTTGCTTTGGATGGACATAGACCCTCAACCTTATAACCCAAGCCTAGCCATTTCTAAAGAAATATTGGGATTCCAGAAATTCAGATATGCAAATTTGAGAACAATGCATACAACAGCATCCAAGCCTACCACACATCCCTAACCATGGCCATAGAGGACCATGAGCGGTAGTGGACAGCTGAGTTGATATGGTAATTTCACAACTCGAATGCAGTAGGCACTTTTGTACTATTGGTCTAACTCATTGACTTGACCTGGTCCATAGAGGTGAAATAGGACCAATGCCAGAGAGAATGTCACGGGCAAGACCTCCCCGGTCAACGCAGTACTGTGAGATCAAAAAAATAGATCACGGCTGAATTTGACTACACGTACAAAAGAGGTAAGTGACGAAGATGAATACACATGGATTGTGGTCATGAAGGTGTATGAGGCAGGTTGAAATCTACGAGAGATGGAACACAATCAAATGCTGAAGAGGTGGACGATTGGACCAGAAAGAGAAGAAACTTCAATGTGTCTCGGGTCGCGTGAGGGAAGTAATCTGCCGCATCAGAAGCTCATAACTATCACAGTATGGGGCGGATAAGAGGGGACACATTTTCAGTATCCAGAAATAAGACGCAAAAAGTATGCCTGGTATCATGAGCTTACGTCAGTATCGTAAGTGCGCTGTTTGGCACAGTCCGGATGAGGTTTACGCCCAAGCCATGATAGAACCCAGAGATGCCCTCTGTCTTCATGATGTGATTGAAAGTTTGCTTCATACGAGGATATACCAACTTGGTCCTTCGGGATTCGGGCTTTGAAGAGGGAATTGCATCTATGTGAGACTGGGAAACAGGCTGAATCTGGCATGAAGGTGGTTCAAGACGGTGAACTTGAAGACGAGTCCGCAGGACTTCATGGGGATAGGTGATCACAGAAGCCAACATCTTCGAGCAAGCGGAGGCGACCAAAATCCGACTCGATGGCAGGTCATTGGAATCGGTAGACTCTAGGAATTCATCATTCGCAATGCCATTAGACTGAAAGTTCTAAGGTATTACACCAAGCAAGAAACCGATCGGCGCTGTACATACTGTAATACAACTTGATTTGCTCGTAAAGCGGAAATTGGATCGCCACATGAGAAACTCCGAATAAGCTGGGCAGCATACCGCGGTAAAACCCCCGCAAGCCTTCTTGTGCGTAGATCCTACGAAAAGCGTCAAAAGTATGTTTATAACGCTCTGTCTTTGAACCTTCCGTGATGCGCTGTGTCTGAGCGAAATAAACGACCCGGTGTCAGACAAACAGGTTGAAATTTAGCTTGTGAATCGAGATTGGCTGGGTGAAAACCTTGACGAACCATAAATCGAGTTTTGATCACCCATAGTGGATTAGTTGCTATTGTTGAAGTGGCGCCAGCAGTCATAGCTGCCAAAACATGAGAAAAGACATCTTCACGATGACCTATCGGGGAAGATGCATGTATCACAAAATGAGCATGGTAAATAATGAGTCCATCTCATCAATGAAAGTACACGGACTAGGGCGTAACTCGGCCAAGGTTGATTTAACTGAATCGTAAACGGTAAAGTAGATAGCCCAGGTGGGTAGATATCCAAATATAGTGGGACCAAGTCCTCGATAGAGACCGCGAAAACCCTCTTCTTGCCAGATAATCCGAAGGGAGCCTATATCATTACAAGGTTGAGTTTATCATATCACTTGCCATGAGAACGATATCATCTGAACAGCTGATTAAAGTTAACCGAGAGGCTGTACACACCTACTAGGCCGTCGTAATAGCCAGTCTGACCTTCAACTCGCAAGCCACCTTGCGCTTGCAGCTTTGTCTTGACAAGATCCAGAGGACAAGTCAGGATGCTGCTGACCAAGCCGGCTCCAGCTCCTATAACAATATGATAGCATGTCATCAGAATTTTATTACTTGCGCCTTGAGCTTCTTATGAAAGAAGTACGTTACCTGATATCATAGACCTGTAGACATCCAATTGATCAACACATGAAATCGGTCGGTCAGTGAGTTAGATTTGGTAGCTGATGGCGAAAACCATGAGAAGTGGAGCGAAATGAGCCCACGCACTCAATGCCGACCAGATAACTCCATCGACCGTCGCCCTTGCCATCCAAGTCCTTCAGCAAGCCGCGCATCCAAGCTCATTCGGGAATCAGCTGCTGAAAGGAATGGGACCGAATATCGCAGTATGCAAGGCTAACTGAAGTAAACTCGGATGTTTACGTGACAGAAATGAATATTCTATCCTTTTCTCGATGTACGAAATGATGTAGAGCGACGTGCACAGACTTGACGCAAAAAGAAAGAGAAACGGTGTTTTAAGGGCTTGTTGGTACCGTTATCATAATGGTGTGCGCAGTGCTTTAAATGCCTGCAGCCTGCAGGAAACTCATCCATCCCCACTATTTCGGAGCCCGTCAACATCCTGGGGTGGGCAGGTGAGCTTAAAAGCATACACTGTATAGAAAGCTACCTCTCAAATCACATAACTCCAGGTTTTAGAAACTCGAACAACATGGGTCAATTCAGATTCGTTCTCCTTTGCGCGCAATGCATGTTCTTAAAGCATAACAATTTTGCACCACGGACGGATCTAGTATTTAGCCTGCTGTCATGAGGTGATGCAAAAGTTTTCTTGAAAAAAGAAGAAATTGAAACAAGGCTGATATCATATGCACTAGGTTCGGGAAAGGGCAGAAAGGGGCAAGAATCGCAAGAACAACAGTTGGAGCTCTAGTAGCAGAGGCTCTAGTCCATGTTCTCTGAACAAAGCCCCTGCATATAGTATGTAGGTACCTATATGACACGGCTTACGGTCAGCGTATCCAGTAAATATGGAGGACGAGAGTCGCGAGCGAGGACCACCTCAAACGCTAGCTTAACAACAAGCCCACTGTGCCAGGTGATTTTTCTCGGAAACGACAATCGTTGCGTGACTAATAGCCACCTTTTGGTGGGTGTTTTTTCACTTCGCTTTTACACCACGACCCACAAATGCATTTTCTTCAAAAAAATAGTCAGATGAGCTCTGTCGAGTTATGAAGGAAATGGCCTCTTCAGAATCTCGACAGAGCTCATGATCGTGTTGATTCATTGAGGCTGCTTATTTTGAGATTTGAAATTTCAACCGCTAAGATTGTTATGTGTACCCTTAAAAAGGCTCGAGAGATGGTCAATTGACTCCCTTAAACAAACTTATTACTCGTTTTCCAGCTCAATTCTTGTGAGCTGGCACTTTTGATTCTCTTTTTTTTCTAATAGAAGTTATGTACAAGATGCTGAACTCATACCAGCCAGTTTCAGAAACAACATCAAAGTAATGTTGAATGAGATAGGATGGGTTGCATCCAAAAGTGACCCAAATTTCACTTTTTGGGGCTATTGGTCACGCCAGAGATGTCGTTTAATGTGCAAGTCCCTCGTGCCTCGGCTTCGGGTTACCGTGAGCTTTTGCACGATTGGACTTGGGTTAAGTTAGCCTCAAACGTGTTGTGCACTATGCGTTATGCACTGTGCACTACACATACTTATGCACTATTCACTGTGCCATTCTGTTCCAGACGCATCTGCAACTGAAGAACTAGGCAAAAGGATCTATTGACCAATTCACGCATTTTGGTGCGGTCGGTCGGTCGACTGATCAACTTCCAGCGTCTGGATCTGGAACTAGCAATGTTCTAGATCGAACACCCCCTTTTACGATTCCAATCGGTCGTCTCCCACTTGAAACGCTTTGTTTTTTGTCCGTATTTTGTATGTAGATATGTGAAGTGACTGTTGTCAATTGTCTCAATCATCAAACACATCTCTTTTGCTTACCTGATCCTGCTAAAAGACCTCAAAGATATCTTGTGTGTAATTGTCCATTGGTTTTTCCCGATGCAATCTCAAAATGAAGATCCAACCAACTACTCCGATGAAGAGATTGATCAAAATCATCCTACATACCTTCAAGAGATTGAAGAAGAAAGCATCCGACAATGTGTGGCGGCAGGAATGAAAAGAACCGAAATCTGCTCTCATCTTGAAGGCATGGGTATTGATATGTCACGAACCACTCTGACCAGACGTCTCCAGAAATATGGTCTTAGTACTGCCTATAGCAAATTTTCACCACAAGATAGATCAATAGTTCAAGCGCTCTTAATCAAATTCAACAAACTTGGCTATCAAAGGAAGGAAGCCATTACTCAGATTATGGGAGATACAGGGATTTCAATCAACATGTATGATCTGCGTACAATATCTGAAGAATTACACACTAGTTGGCAAAAAGATGATATTCAACAAGGGCTGGTGGTTCCGGAAGACCTCATTGAACAAATGAAATTCATAGTGGCCGGTTCTCACCGCGACACTGGTTACCGCCGCATGCAGAATGCCTTGGCAGTCATACATAACATCCGAGTCAACAGAGACACTGTTAGATCTTTTCTCCATCAAATTGATCCTGAAGGGGTAGAAGCACGACGTAAAGGTAAATTGAAGAGGCGGGTTTTTCATGTTGATGGTCCAAATCATGTCTGGTCTACAGATGGTCACGATAAACTTAAACCTTTTGGAATTACTGTTTATGGGTTCATTGATGCTTGGTCTCGTAAGGTTTTGGGTTTGTATGTTGGTGTAAACAATAATGATCCACGTAGAATTGGTTATCACTATCTAGATGTTGTTGAAAATATTGGAGGTATTCCCCAGAAGACATGCACAGATCATGGGACTGAGACTATCAAGATGGCAGGATTTCAAATGTCATTGGTTCAAATATATGGTGGTTTAACTCCTGAAGAAGCTGAAGCGGCTCATCTCTATACAACTTCTCAAAGAAACCAGAAGATTGAAAGTCTTTGGTCTCTGCTACGCAAAGCAATTGGTATCAATATTCATGATGAGATAGAGGACGGTGTAAAGAGGGGAATTTATGATGAGTGTGATCCCCTGCAGAAGTGAGTCAGTCAATCTTACTTTTCATTTTCTTTGATACTTATGTGCAACCTGCTCTTTTAGGATGCTTTTCCTGCATCTTTGGATCCCCATTGTGCAAAAACTCCTGGACGAATACACCCACATTAAGAACGCCTCACGCACTCGAAAAAATCAAAATTCAGGTCTTCCAACTGGTGTGATTCTCAATGTCATTTACTCTTCACCTGAGGAATACAATGCCACAGAAGGCCTAATTCCTGTACCAACAGAAACCATTCAAGCTCTCAGACAAAGACATTTTCCTGATGCAGAGATTCTGTTCCAAGTGTCTCCAAAGCCCTTTGAACAGCAAGTTGACAGCGCTCTTCGATGCTTGGGTATCAAACGTGAAAATATCACATTTGAAACTGTGTGGATTTTTTTTCAACCAATACTAGAGGCTTTGAAACTGGTTGATGTTGATATCAATGAAGCCAGATTGGTATCTAGACATCAAGAAGAATTTGTTCCTGACGTTGATGATGGGATTGAACATCGATTGGCACCAATTCTTGTAGGGCATCAACCAGACGCGTAAGTTAAAGGAAAGATAAATGGTGTCTGTTGTGTTTTGTTTAGAAAGTTGTGTTTTCAGATGTTTATGTCTGTCCCACCTGAACATCTGTGTTTATAGTTATAGCCAATCTGTTCTGATAGACATATGTTATCTGACCCAATTGCATGTCCTTCATCATTGACAAACTTTGTTTTCACAACGACTGGCAACAATTACTTTCAAATTTCACATAATCTGATATTTTGACTAGATTCTGCTCTTGTTCATTTAGCACAACTGCTATGTGTCTGATCAGACTCAATTTCAACATGTTTGTTTGTACTGTCTCCATTTGAGATCAACTCAATCACAAGGAATCATTAAAAATCAAGAAC